GCCTCGGGTTGGCGGCCGCACCGGGCTCAGCCAGTGAGCGGGAACCGGTCTGTATGTGGGATCCGAACCCTCGGCGGGAGCGCCGCCGCGCTTCCCAAGCGGCGCACTATCCAGTGCGCCACCGGGCCGGCCCCATAGAAGGTTTTTTATCTCATCTCTTGCATGTGTTGCCTTCATGTATAAACTAGACCCTTAGTATAAAATTCTGGCTTGAAATATTTTCTCTCAAAATTTTGGAGGTGTTGCTTCCTTTTTTTCCGATATTTATTTTTGTGGACATGTCTGAGGCCAGCCTACTTTTGTTCTTTTATAAAACCTTAAATTTTTTTTCTACCTTGGAGCTTCGACTAGTAATAATAATTACAACAGCAATACTAAATGGTCTTTGTGATTCAGTTTGCTAAGTTATGTCTAGTTCTGGTCTCTTTTCATTAATTTTGTCTGGAACACAGTAGCCCTTTTGATCCACATACTGAGGTATTGTTTTCATTTCAGGAAAGTTTACTTCAGTTATAATTTTGATTATTGCTTCAGTTCCATTTGTTCTCGTTTCTGCAAAGAAATTCAGTAATATAAGGCTGGAGGCGCTACCGCTTCGAGGCTGGTACCACTGCTGTGTGCGCAGCTGCTGGGCTGGCACTCCCACTCCGCTGTGTGATGTGGTGCTTGCTGCTTGGCTTCCCGGTGCCTCCCTTTCTGTAGCTGGACAGTGGGCATGACAGGAGGCCTGTATGGGAATGTTGTGAGGTGCTCAGTACGTGGGGAGCTCTCAGTGATGTACTGACTGGTTTTATTGGTAACCATTCATTTCTTAACCCATTACAGTCCGGCCTCTTCCCTCCCCCATTATCGTACCTAAACTTTTCATAGTGAGATGGTGAATGGGTAAGCACTATTCGCCCTTCTCCTTTCAAAAGTGCATAGGTTGTAAGAGAAATTTGTCATGTTGTGTGACGCCCCACATATGTCCTTTGCTTTCTCGTTGCTTTTATCCTCTCATTTCTCTGCAGTCAGGGAGAATTTCTCTACCTGTTTATTCCCTTTGCTGATTTGCTTTTCTTCCAACATCAATTTTGTTCCTTACTGCTTTGTGAAGGAGATTTTTATTCCATTTTGCATTTCTAATTTTCCTAAATCTTTCTATGTCTTCCAGCTCTATTTTCATATTCGCCTGTTTTCTTATATTTAATTATTTTTTTAAAAGTATAACTTCTTATATGCCTTAGCATATCAGACAGTATAGTAGTTAGGAGTGGAATTATCCTGCCACTTTTAGCTGTGTGATGTCAGGTAAGTTATTTACATCTCCTTGTGCCTCAATCTGTTTC